ACTTTGCATCTTCACTACAGACTCAAGTCTAATCAAGCATTTATGTTATTAGTAGCTGCCGAGCCGTTGCATTGACTTCCTCCTTTTTCGCAGCCATGAATGCCAGTCTACACTTTTGCAGATGTCCAATTGCATCGTCGACCCTGCCTTTTCCCGCCAGAGTCTCTATTCGGGTTGGCAACTGCATCATATCTTTCGGCAGCGGCAGCGGCTCTCGGGCAGTACGTCCATCCAACTGCCTCTCTGGAGACCTTTCGTTTTTGGCTCAAAATTCGTGCAACCCGCAGAAGGGCAGCACTATATCGGAGCTGGCACTAACAAAGATAACAATATATCGCGACTCCCCTGTAATGTATTAGAATAGTTTTATATTTCCTTCACGACGGGAATGACATTTGCGAACTATTTCTCTGCTACCGTACCGATCCAATAAATATGACTGCAGCCATTTCTTCTAACTTCAAACGGTTTAGTCGTGGTGTTGTGTGTGATTCTTTGCAGGGAAGTAATGACAAACAATCCATTTCCAAGATTGTAACACTCGTGCGGCTTTCTGGACATAGACTTCAAATAATTTGACTGAGAAAGAGAATCATCGGGCTTCAATGCTACAGGTATTCATATTCATGTCCGTAGCTCACTGACGACTGGCCCTCTGCAGTTGCAATAACGGACACCTTTCCGCTCCCACGGGGCGTTATGCATCTAATGTGTTGGTATTGAATATCAGCGAAGCTGGTGCAAGGCTTTCCATCAAATGAAATTTCCAGTCCAGGAGAATTCAAGAAATGGCCAGTGATAAACACTTCCGCACCACCTTTCTTTGGACCTCGGGAAGGATGTATCGCAATTAAATTCACCTTTGATGCGCCATCTTCATCCGGGCGAAGCGCGATTACTCTATATTTCTTCAGCTGTGGCATCACAAGTTCTCCGTAAAGACCCATTGTAAGTGACACGCCACTTTGCTCGAAAAACTGGTACGGTTGCTCTCTAAGTGAAGTTCCGTCTGCATTCAATTCTGCCCTCCAGACCAGGCCGCTTGCCCCGAATGCAACCTTACTCATTAGAAGATCCTCTTTCAGAGCGCCCTTGAAAGTATTTGCCCGGTATTCAATGATCCCATTTGTTGACGAGGTCATCGTGCCAATCGGTTTCGTGTATCCATTGCTGCTTGGTTCGCCTGGGGATCTATATACACACTGACGCGGATCGAGACGACCTCGATTGCGGTTTGGATGACCGTAATAGTTGCCCCTGACGAGATGCAAAAGCTTATCGTCGGATTCTGGGTCTGGTCCATTTTCTGTGCATGAGATGCTGGACGCTCCAAAGTTCGTGTTCGGTCCATTGTCCGTCGCGTAAGCCCGACCATTACTATGGGTCACTATTCCGAATGAATTTCGAACACCGACCACGTAGGTTTCAACATCGCCACTGACCACTACAGATGTTGCGGGGTTGTCGTATTGGTCGTATTTGACCGCACCGTCAAAGCCTGGGGCAAGGTAGTTTGCAATTACAATCGACCCTGACAATGGGTTTTCTGGGACACCACCAATGCCATCTTCTGCCGTGCTCGCACCTGCATTTGAAAACGAGCCAATAGTCACAAGCAGTTGTCCGTCTGGAAGGAAAGCAATTGCATTTGTGCCATGATCATGGTTGGACGTAACTAGACCGGAAATGATGGTTGGTCCGCGAACGGGGCAATTATCTGCACCAATGTTCACGGCTTCAACCTTTGCATTGTCCCATCTTTGGCCCTTACTGGCATAAAAGTGAGTATTTGTCGTAACAAGCACTCTATTGTAAGGATCAAGTGGGTTGTATCCAATTCCAGTGACTGATCGGTCTTTGCCCATGAACGCACCGGTGCAAGTTGTCCGGACGATTAGAGATCGGTCAACATAGGCAGCAGTAACATAACCAGTAAGAGATCCCATGTAGTATCTGTGATCACGGCCAAGAGTAATGCTGGTGATTTCCTCAATTATGTATTCAGAACCGTCAACATTCTTCCAAGTATCGAAAAGGAATCGAATTGGAACCTCTATTGCTCCATTCTGAAAAGTGTACTGAACTTCATTTGATGTACCGATGGAGCTTTCTACCCTAACAGGTGTCGTCCCCGTGCCGCCCGGAGCCTTGCACGTAATTTGGTTGATGTTGTTGTGTATGACGTCGTCAGCTTCTTCCAAGCCGAAATACACCCGGGAATCGCGATAAAGAAAGGCCCCGTTGATAGTGACCGTATTGCCTCCAGTTGCTTGCCCTTGACTCGGACTGACAGAGTCAATTCGTGGTCGTTCGGAGGCAGCACTTCTAGGCAGCACAGTGACAGTCATAGTATCCATGGCAGTATCCTGTGTGTTGTCGACAACCGTAAGCGCGAGCTTCGTCGTGCCAACGGGAAAAGTATGTTTGCATTTCATAGCTGTACAGAAGACTCGATTCGTCGAGATAATCCTCCACGTAAATTGATTAATGACACCGCTGATGACAGGGGGTCCGGCGTTGAAATAGTGAGAATGCGAGCCAACGCCGTCCAGCTGGACCATTTCAGAGCCATTGTCATCGAGGTCGAAAACAGTTTGGTCAGGGCCAGGAACAGCATGAGCCCGATGGTCAAAGCCCGAGTTGTCCAGAGCGGCTGCAAGATGAAGGGCTGTAATAATGCATCCTGCACTTAAGACTGCCCGCACAGATGCTGACATGTTGACGGAAGCACTTCTTTTGCCCACCCGCAGGCGCGGTTCCTTCTCTGAGTTTTCGTGTCTTGTTACTCTTCTCTTTGACGGAGCAATAAACCGCCACTCCCCAACCAACGATAAGAAAAGAAATGTAGGTGGGAAGTGCTCTGTGAGTCCCTTCGTGCAATACCACGACACATCGTCCGTTGGTCGCTGCCCAGATTTGCCGCATTGAAACGTCGAAAGGCGATGAAAGTAGGTGTTTTGAGATGACTTTGCAGACTTGCCCCATTAAATTATTATTCATTGGGACGCTTGTTGTCTCCTCTGACGTGTAGGTCGATGATGGAGGGACATGAGGTGCTGTGGCTCGAGTAACAATACCGCCAGCCGGGCCAAGGGCCTGTGTTTTCTACAGACTGTAAAACACGGTAGTCTACGGCTAAAACGCGGGAGTGGAGATGCCCAGCAAGCAGCTCTGAATACTGATATGAGGGTATGTGTGATCAGAAAGAGAAGGCGGTGCCAGTGCTGGCCCATCGAATAGAAGTACGGTTGGTCTGGGGACAATTTCCCCTTGCATAAGTGTCTCCGCACTCGTTGACGAAATGGGGGTATAGGTAGTTACCAGAGCCCAACCAAGGCTCGCCTGAACTGTACAATGTAAACTGCAGGACTGCTCGTCTACATCTACAGATCATAGCATTCTATCCTTTTGAAACAGCTCCTTGTCGTCTCCTAGATTATCGCTTGTCGAAGGATACTGTAGGAGTCTAGTCGCTAGGATCACAATCCTGTCATGCTACCCGACGAGCACTTTCTCGGCATCCCAGCTTTCATAACTCAGATCGAACTCGGAGCAGAAACATATCACGCAGGTATAGTTGCAGCGACCTCGTTATGAACATTGCTGTGGTACAATAAATTAGTACAGCTATGCATGTATGGTGTAGCTGTACTACTTGATTACAGTAGACGGAAAAAGACGGACTCTGTAAGCAAAGCTCGACGTCAGATCACTTGTTCTCATACAGTTCCGCATACTGTACCCTTGAGTACTGAAAGGCAGCATTGACAAAGTAGTGATTGGGGCCTCCCACAGACAGGTCTACCAGCGTTCAAGGAGCCTCCACACCTGCGAGAAGGACAAAGTCATGCCAACCGCCTCAGCATTGCCGAATCACATTTGTCGGCCCTCGCATACATTAGAACGGCAGCTGCGAAGTCTTCTCTTTCGTTGTCAGGGGTCACTGCCTCTGTAGTCTAGAGGATGGTCACTTTGTTTAAACTAGCGCATGTTTTGTGGAGTGAAATACTTTCGCTCTCCTCCCCTGTGTTGCCTCTGGTGCGCTCCTCGCGTTTCTCCTCCCCGCCACAATGAGTAGGGATCAAATCTGTCCTGTTATCTTTTCCGCCCCGTCCTCGTTCCAAACCGGTCAGCTTTGGTCTTCTAACCGCCCAAAACCGTATCTATCCCAACGGCTATCAGTTCATCGGCTCCCATGTCGAGGAATCCCTGTTAATGCGCATCCGTCTCTCAGGCATCTTTAAATATCTTTTCGGCGGATGCCTAAACAGCGCGAATCTCCGCTTTCATCATCATTCAACTGACATGGGCCATTATTGCAAGACTGCCCTTTGGTGGAAACTCCCCATGCCTACGTACATCTGCACTTTTTCTCCACTATAGTTCTGCGCAAAACCATCGGAGAGGAACCGCAATAGCGCCACTCCGTCGGGTAGATGGATCTCTTTGACGACGCATCCGCCGGCCAGTTCGACGCGCGAATGGCTGGAGCTCTGGCAAGAAGCCCTCGCTTCCTGCGCGCAATATGGTCGCACGATGAGTGCTCTCGTGACGATTCTCGTCGCCTGGTTCTCAGGCACATCCGTCTCTTCGTCAATAACAGTATTACACAGACAGTTGGTAAAAACCGGACTCTCCGTGCTGTCACAGTTGGTGCGACACCTTGCTGAGGCTGAATTCGCTGGTTCTATGTCCCTCTCGTCGCCGTCACTACACTCCTCCTGCTGCGCCCCCTTCGAGACAATAGCCGACCAGTTGTATCGCCAAAACACGGTGTCTACACCATTTAACAAAAGTGCACGCCCCGAGGCCTGCTTAGAATACGAGGAATCAGCTCCCTCTGATTCTGGGCCCCCAAAATTAGTCACCAATAGCATTTTCTGCGTCCTCGATGCCGCTGGGGCCAGAATTCTCATCATCATTTGGACGAGGCCATCATCACGTCATGGTTTTCGTAGATGCATGGGATAGTTGGCGGCAGGGTGATCCTGTTCGTGTGCTGCTGTTCGTTATGCTCTTCTCTTTCGCATTACAGCTTCCAATCGGCGTCGTCGCACCGTTCGGAGACGGTGCGACCCCAAGATCAGTTGTCAATAGAACGCGAGGGACTCTAACCGAGAAATAGGTTTATTACCAGCCGGAGCTGGGCAGAAGTGATGTGAAGTCGAACGAGACACTGACTCGCTCAATTACGATATACTGTGGATGCCGCGTAAAAACCATGCCCAATTAAGTCACGTTGGCAACAACAGTAGAGAAGCATTGCGACGAAAATTTACGATATTTCTCTCATCGATCGCCCTCATTGCTACATGTTCGCGTCTGAAGCGGACGAGCAATGAAAACTCGACTAGTCCTCGGTTGTTGGAGGAGGTTTATCGCACAACCGACTAACACAGGATTCCGTTAACCTCTGTTCCGTCTTAGTTCTCTTGTGAGCGCAATTCGAAAACAGCCTCGCCATAACAGTGCAATAACAGTGAAGGGATACGATGGTACCAACGCACTGAAGCAGCCGTTCTTTCTTCATCAACGCTTCCTGACGTGGCCCTGCTTTTCAGTGATTCTATCTTTGACTGCTGATAAACGCTGTCGTGATGGGTAGTTGTTGGAATTGGAACGTGTATACTGGCGTCCTAGAATAGTGTGGCATCATGAAAGGAAGGCAGGGGCATCAGGGGCATCAAGGGCAACAATTGCGATACAGGTACATTATAAGTAAAGATTTGGACAAGCATCAAGAGGCGGGGACTCGAAGAGACCTGGAAACGCGTTAGATGAAAAATGGGCCCCAGCTTGCTTCCCCAAACACATCATCCCTACAAGGAGATTATGAGGGCAGGGGTAGTGAAGATATTCGCCGGAGCGGTGTGTCCGTATGCCCTAAAAGTGCGCGAAGTTTGTCGGCATCTTCCTTGGAGCGGGCATTGACGGTGGGCACAACGCGCGCAGGCTTGCACCACTTCACAAAAGCGACGAGCTCTTCATAGCTAGAGTGCTCGCTATAAGCGACTTCGTAAAGCATGGCCTGATCCGCAGAGCGATTCACACGGCGCGGCTTCGACGCATCCCCCCTGAAAGTCCATCCAGTTGGACGGAAGACGATGGCAAGCCCCCGTCCAATGAACGACGTGTTGAGGCTGTTTCGCACCGCGTACTCGCGAAGGCCATCTGCAGACAGAGCGCGCATGGACACGACTTGCACACGCGCCTCTCCCGCGGAGTTCACAAGTCGCCCAGTCAACTTTGCCCCAAAGGCGCACTGCTCCAGAATGCCCCGTTTTCGCTTTCCTGCGTAGATCTTGAGATTCAGGGCCTCGGCGACGGCGAAAAAGACTTTCTCCTTCCCGATTGAGTAGGTGCCAAAGAAAAAGAGGCACTGCCCCTTTGTGCGTCTATTCTCCTCCTTTGCTGCATGCACAACCTGCTGCAACACATTGGCCTGGTACGGAAACACATATTGCGGGTTACAATATGTGGTATCCAGATGCAAATAATCCAACTTGCCCTCGCTTACAACTTCGGCAATCTTGCGATGGTGTCCAAAAACCTTGGGGTCATAGCGGCAATCGCCCGAATGCAGGACGTACCTCTCCGTGTTCCACACATAAAATAAGAGGACGACAGCCCCCGGGCAATGATTTGCATCATAGACCCAAACGGAGACTCCGCCCTTTCCCCTCGGCTCGCGGACGTCGACTTTGACGCCAACCGGGAGGACGACAATAGATTCCTTACGTACACGTAGCTGGGAGTGGACAAGGGAAGCAGTGACACTCGAGCAATACACGCGGGCGCCCTCCGGCAGGGTGCTCTTCCTCAGGCCGCCGTAATGGTCGCTATGAAAGTGGGTGAGAAAATATACGGACTTTGCGGGGTCATCTTTCGCGGCATAAAAGCTATCCACAGTAATGCTCGTTGCGGGGACGCGGTGTGAGAAGAAGTGGTTCCTCTTCCCGCGGGGGTTGGTGCCGTCGGGCTTTGCGCGGGGCCGCTTCTTCGGCGAGGCGGCGGCTGCGCGGTAGC